CTGCCCACGCGTCCCTCGGGATGCTCGGCTCAGTGTTGGTAGTGGAGCTTGGAAGGCAGCATTATGCAAATACGTTCGAGGCGTCTCAATCTTCATCTGTTTCAATAAGTTCGTGGTCGGAGCCTTTTTCCTGCAACTCTCTCTCCTCCCTCTTCCGCCTCCCAGGGCCTCCTGGAACTTCATATGCCCCCATGCTCCCTCGGAGCCCTTCTCGGAGGCCTGTGCGGCCGTCACTTTGGGCCATTCCTTTCTTGTGTTGGAATGCTGCCCCTTCCCAGTCAGTCGAGGCAGCCAGCTTGCCTGCCATGATGTTGAAGATGTGATGATGATGATGATGATGATGATGATGATGATGATGATGATGATGATGATGTTGATGTTGATGAGGATGAGGATGATGATGATGATGATGATGATGATGATGATGATGATGATGATGATGATGATGATGATGATGATGCTGGCGATGGTGATTGGGATGAAGAGGGGGACAATGATGGCGGTAGTGATGATAAGGTAGTGACATGTTGATGAGTGATGGCCGTGAGAGATGGTGATGGCGATGGTGCTGCTGACGATGGCGATGATTATGGCGGTTGTGGCTCATCGCGGGATTGAGGCGCATGACGTCAACTCCGACGAGGAGGATTTGAAGGAGCAGGATACTCAAGAGGAGGAGGGCGAGAGGGTTGTGACCTGAAGGAGGTGGAAAAGGATTTGGAGGATGAGCATGATCAGGAGCAGCAGGCGGTTGACCAGGAGTAGTCGGAGGAGCCAGGGGCCTTCCGAGATACAGAAAGTGGCAAACATGCCCGAACGCCTCGATCTTCCACCACTCTCCCCCGTCCTGGTGAGGAGGTAGGGCTGGCTCAGGAGAAGGAGGAGGAGGAGGAGGAGGACGAGGAGGAGGAGGAGGGGGGAGAGGAAGGGAGGGATGGCGAAGGAGCGAGCCAGCGTGGGAGGGAGTAAGAAAGGGAGGGAAGGGAGGAGGAGGAGGACAAGGAGGAGGACCAGAGCAAGCGCAGGAAGCATCAGCGCCTGTCAGCCCACGCCGCAGACTCGCACGGAGACGATGGGCAGCTCAGTGCAGAACGCTGCGCTGCCTCGCCCAGCGCGCTCGGTGGCATCTGGTCGGGACCGGGGCGTGCTCGCCGAGTGCAGCCTCGGGAGCGCCTGCTGCGCTCCGTCGTGCGGCGCTCTGGCCAGAGCCGCGCCGCGGGAGGTCGGGGAGGCGCCCAGGGGGGCTCGACCCGCCCGGGGTTCGTCCTCTGCGCGCCCAGGGCTCGTGCGCGGCCCGCCCAGGGATCGGCGCCGTGCTGTGCCCCACACTCCCAGGGTTGCCGGTGCACTCGTGCAGGGCTTCTTGCTCGTCCTGCACAGGGTTCGGTCTCGACCCGCCCAGGTCTCGGTGTCGACCCGCCCAGGGAGTGTTTGTGTCCCGCCCAGGGTTCGTGTTCGTCACGCCTGGGGTGTATTTTCAACCCGCCCGGGGTTCGCTTTCGATCCGGTTTCATGTTCAACCCGCGCATGGTTCGCGCTCGACCCACCCATGGTCTGTGCCATCCCGCAGCACGGTGCGGTGGTGCCGCACCGCAGTGTGTTGTGCCTTGGCGCACGCTCTCGCAAGCACAAGCCTTGCTTTCCAGGGCGCCGCGCCCTGGCGTGGCGTCCTGGCTTGCACTAAACGCGCATTGGTTTGTGATAGTCCCTGGCACCCCGACGCAAACTTGAACGCGCCAGCGCAAACATTCACACGTTTGATTCACACCGGCCCCTCCAGAAGCGATGATCCGGCGAATTGCCTTGACCAGGGAAGTGGAGGCGCAAGCATTCGAGCGAACGTGGGGGGCAGCCGACAAACCGAAGCTCGGGCTCAGCCTGGGCAGACACAGGAGGCGATCATACATGATGTCGTGGGTCTGGAGCCTCCTTGCAGCTAACTTGGGCCTTAGAGGCTTCAAGTCCAGAAGCCTCTTAGGATCTCTTGGGGCTCTTTTGGGGCTTTGGGCCGGGCCTTAGAGGTCCTCTTGGGGCCACCTTGGAAGCGATCGATCCACGAAGGGAATATCGCCGATTAGCGTCCCTCCGTCCCAGCCTTCAACCTCGCCTCTTGGGGAGCTCTTAGGGCGCTCTTTGAGCCGTCTTGGAGCCCTCTCGGGGCTCGCTATACTGAGCCATGTTGGGGAGCCATCTTGAGGCTTCAGAAGTCATCGACGATAGTGTTTTTTGGGGCGGATGTTGGAACTCGGGGACGTCCCTGGGAGGCTCCGAGGCCACTCTGAGCCGTCTGAGGGCGGTCTTGGGGCCTTTTCGGAGTACTGTTGGAGGCCATCTTCAGCCATCCTGAGCTACACTGTGTTATCTTTGAGGCCATATTGGACGCTCTCCCTCGCGGCTCGCTTCCTCCAGACCCAGGGAGTAGGCAGGGGAAGGGGCAAGCCCTTCCCCGGACGGAAATACGAAAGCTGGACGAACGAATTCGTCCAACCAGTCCTGCTCTCAAGGGCTACTAGAGGTTCGAGCTTGATTTTCGGGAGCGGAAAAGAGGGGGTGATGACTAGGGGGGGTGGATATCATGGCGAGGGCCATGATATTTACCCAGATTTCATGGCGCCTCTTCTTGTTTCATTGCGTCCCCAGCCCCCCCCCATGGGCCGCGCACATGCCGCCGGTCATGATTTGCACCCCCCCCTCTTGGACACCCCCCTCTTGGCCGCTCCCGATATTTTTTTGTTGTCCGTACCTCTTGTGAACTCCCGTTGCTCTATATTTCCTCTGTGGAAGGCGCGCCCCGTTGGCTGACGAGCGCCCGGTGCGCCTCTGCCGTCTGGGCAGGGCCCCGTGCTGCAAGGAGTCCGCCTTCCGCCTCTCTGCCAGCGGGGGCGCACGTCATCGAAGACCGACTTCTGACCACATCCACCTCTGGATCCTCGATTCTATGATGGGCCCTCGGGGCTGGAAGTGGGTAGTTGTTCCTTCCGCTGGGGCGGGGAAACTGCCCACCACCTCTGGAAACCGCTTTCCGCAAGGCACCTCGGGATGTGGGTGTGGTCAGTAATCGGCCTCCTACATCAAGAAGCCATCCACGTTTCGTCGGGTTACCCTGGGTTTCTTCGCTCCGCGCGCCGCGCGGGGTCGTCAAAGGGGCTACTGCGTTCAGGGTGCTCCGCGTGTTCCCACAAGGTGTACCCCGCGCGGGGGTTTTCAGGGTTGGACGTCTTGCGAGGGTTTTTTTCCGGCCGCGCCCGCACTGTAGTGTTATTGCTCGAAGCAGCGTGAACAAGGCGTATGGTAGAGCTCACGGAAGTGCCCAGCGATAGGCTTTTTTGGGGGAAGGTTTTGCTATTGACCCGTATGATTAGGTAGTGTGCATGTTAAAGAACGTGTGGTGCAACGTACTTCGCCTTCACGCGAGAGTCCCGCTTTGACTAGGAGCCGCCTTCCATCAGTAAGTATGTTGCACAAGTTCAATGAGGATTTTCGGGACTGAAGTTGTTTGAGAATGTCTCAAGCGGGAGCCGCATGTAGAACGCGAACCGCCTCCATCGTTGTATTTAGTGGTGTGTTTGTGTCAAACGAATACACGCGGAACTGAAACGGAAATGCATGTTTGAAATGACAGGCCTCTATCCATATTATAGTAGGTGAGCGTGTGTAAAACGATTGAGCGCGGCGCAGGGGCGAGAACCGCTGTTTTGAAAATTACCGATATCCCATCTTTGCAGCAGTCGGACTCAGAAAAAACACACGTTCTTCAGATAATAACGATATCCTATCCCATATCCTCCATCATTGCAAGCATTGGCGAATGCAATCGGCGCTTTGGTGAGAGCAGCGTTGTGAAGAGCACAGGCCCGTTATAACAAGTTGATGCTCTTATTGCAGGATCTCGCACTGTAAATGTGGCATGCGAAGCGCCCTGTGCGGCCTGCGGACACGCCCAGAGGTGCGGCAGAGGTGGCATCATCTACATGTGCGAGGGATGGAGGATATGGAGGAGGAGGAGGAGGATCGCAACGAGGAACAAGAGGACGACCAACATAGCCCAAGATGCAGGAACGATGTTGCAGTTTGCCCTACCGTCCACGGTCCCTTCCTGATTCAGAGCTCCCTAGAAGTATGCCCTGCCACTGCGGGCAGTGCCCCCCCCCCTCAACAGGCGGACGGGCGCCTCTCCTCTCGAGCCGGGCCCCGCTCTGACGAGGCTATGCCGTCTACCCGTGCAGGCACCGCCCACTTGCCAAGTCTGTGTCGTAGGATTAGACGGCGTCTCAAGCGAGAGTCCCACTTTGGACGAGGACCTCCCTCCTTCCGTACAGTGTTGGCGTACTCTCGAACATCTGGCCATGACAGTTGCGGGAGGCGTGAGCGAGAAAGCCGCCTTCCGTCCGTGCATGTGGTTTTGCATGCTTCGAGCGAGTGCGCGCAGGGCCAAGGCGAGAGGCCCATTTTGAAAGCGATCTGCCCTTCATGCGTGTTACTGTCGCAAGTTCTTCAGTCAATTGTGCGCTGCGCAAAGGGGAGACCCCCATGTTCAAAGGAACCGCCCTCCATCCGTGTGGCAGGTGTAGTTTGTTTGGACGCGTGTGCGCGGCGCCACAAGCGATGACCCGACGTTTGAAATGACCCGTGCCCCATTCGCTCAACAGCTGGAAGCTTCAAAGCTTCGATCTCACAATCCCGCAGGGCGCGAACGGGCACCAGGGCAAAACGCCTGGCCCGCTCTGGCGGCACGTGTGGTGGTGCGACAGGGAGGGGGTACAGTCAACCCGAATAGTAAGGATGGGCAGCCTTCCCAAGGGTACCCTCGCATTCTTGCCTCCTCGGTCCATCCTCGGCCACTTTCGTTGGCCGCGCCCCGCTCGAATAGCTTCGAAATGGGCGCCCAAGGCTCTCGCATCCTTACCGCGCAGCGTCACTACAGGAGTTGACTGTCGAAGGGGGAGCGACAGGGGATGCGGACCCTCTTCGCGGGCCGAGCCCCGCGCCCCGGGGGCGAGGTCGGCTACGGCGGACTGCTCATAGTCTACACGCAGGCGCCCTCCCCGCCTCGCGCCTGGTTTCCACGGCTCCCCACAACCTTGGCGTCGCCGTGTTGGCTGCGATCCATGCCCTGCTGGGACGGCGTCGGCCTGCACAGGCGCCATGGTCAGGCCCAGACCTCCTGGGGCCCTCGGATCGAAGAGTTCATCCTGCGGAAATGTTGGCTTTGGGTTGTTGCCCCTCGCCGTCCTTCCGGAATCCAGGATCGAAGGGAGTTGTTAACACATTCATGCACATAAGTCGATGTCTTGTTCTGTTTGTTTCACCACGATTCTTTCAATGTCTTCGGACGTGTCGCTGTAGCTCCTCCTCTTCCTCCACTCGGTGTCCTGCCGCCTGTACACTTGCCGTAGCCATGTTGGCAAGTCCAGTGTGGAAGGCTTATGGATTTGAGTTACGTTTGGCGAGGGAGTTCGCGGCCCAAACCTCTTACATTCGACGCCGTGCTGAGATTTCTATCCCTCACCTCGGCGATTCCCGTTCTTCACTCCCACAATCTGTAGTAACCTCGTGGCTGATGGCATTGTCTCTCGGCTCGCGGCGAGGCGCAGGATGGGACGGAAGAGCCTCGCTTGGCTCAGCCGCGTTTTGCGCACCATTCGCAACCGGACAACGTTGGAGCAGGTGGAGAGCAGTACGGCAAGAAGTGGTGCTCGTGGGTTTGTTCATTCACCCACAGACGGCCTCCAGCCGACACTGTGTCAAGGATCGGGTTAGCCCAGGGGTCATAACACACAGTCAACCCGCGCAGTGAGGATGAGCGGCTTTCCAAGGTTACCCTTGCATCCTTCCCCGTCGGCCCATCGTTGGCAGTTCCCGCTGGCCGCGCCCCGCTCGCAAAGTGTCGACACGGCTTTCCAAGGCCCTTGCATCCTTACCGTGCGTCCTTGTTATACGGGTTGACCGCAGGATCCACCCAAGGGCGTGTGGGCACGCCCTCGGTCCAGGCGAAAAGGTAGGAGAGGGAAGGGGGGGCGGGCACGAAATCTGCTGCATGCAGCTGGTGTCTGCCCCGCCGCCAGGCCCTTTCCTAGATGCACGGACGCCTCCTGTCGCCAGGAGGCGCCAGCAAAATCAGCTACGCGAGCTGATCCTCCGCCCTGCCCTTGACTATCCAGCTATTTCGTCCCCCCCCCGACTTTGGCCATGACGGCGAGGCTCGGCCAACGGCCCCCGCCTCAGGTACTGGGGACGCCACGGGCACAGCCACCGACATGTCCACCGAAGAGATGGAGTCCCCCATCGCTGTGCCACAACGGGCCCAGCTGGCACAATTCGGTTTTGAACAAAACGGGCTGCGCAGCAAGAGCGCACACACCAGCTTCGCGCATCAGTGAGGCCTTCGACAGTCTACAAGCGTCGGAAGGGGGCGAAATCCGTGGGCCCATGCGGCGATATCACCAGAGTCGTGTCGCTGCATTCACTGAGGAGTTGTCTTTAAGGCAGAACAGCTGCACAAGACCTTGGTAGACCAGTTGCATGCTGGTGGAACAGCTGCGCCAGCCCCCAACGTCGAATGGTCAGTGCGATATCTATTGGCGGGGAAGGTTGAGGAAACCCCGATTGTGTTGGGGGACCTCCTGCAAGCCGAGGGCGGTTCGGAACTGGAATTATCGATAGGACCGCGCCCGAGTCGAGGTTGCAATGGAATCCCTCAAGAACTGTATCAAAGACGCAGCTTCTCCCCTTTTCAAGCACGTTGTGGAGCGCGCTGAGAAGGCAAACGGGGAGCATGCACCACTCGTGGCACGCGACGAATTTAAGCGTCGACTGATTGATGCCCTTGGCGATGCAGCGGAAGGATTTGCTGCAGCACTTAGAGGAGAACAGCACACAGCCGCTGAGCGTGGGCCTGCAGCTCAGCCCGACGCCGGCGCAGCGCCCGCGGGAGGCGGAATGCCAGCTCCCGCCGCGGCCATCGAGCCCCCACCGTCAGGTGATCAGAAGCAGGACGTGCAAATTCTGGGGGCAGCGATAGGGGGGGATGGGCACAGGGGGGGATACATCGACCCCCAATCGCCCATTGATCGCCGATAGGGGCCCGATAGGCCCAACCTGCACAGGAAGGTGCGGATTTTATTATCGGGGATCGCCGATGTATCGGCGATGTATCGCCGATTCCAGGTCGATGCATCCCCCCCTTTTGCCAGTGCCCCCCCTATCGTTGCCCCTCAGCAGAGCAGGGTTGCAAAGACCGCGGGAGGCAACGGCGGGTCGGGCCTTCTGTGCAGCACAGTCGGCCGCAGTGGGAATCGTCCGAGCACGGTTCCGTCTGGGGCCAGGACCAGCCTCTCGTCGAAGCGTTCTCGGGATTCTCGGGTCAGAAACCAGCTGCAAGCAGTCCTGCAGGATCGGCCCCTCTGGGCCCGCCTCCTGGCGAGGAGCTCTCTTTGGTTTCAGTGACGGCCAACGTTTCCGGTTGGGAGTCGGCCCGAAGTTGGCCGCGTCAGGTTGAGGCCCAAGCAATGTGCTTGCAGGAGCACCGCCGCAGGACCCCAGAAGATCTAAAACACGCCTAAGCGTAGGACCTCCGACAGGGGTGGATGACTCAGTGGGCCCACGCGCATTGCAGTTGCAAGCGCGTGCATCTGGCACGGAGGGGGGCCTTTCGGACCCTAGCTTTTCTGTCGTCAAGGTGGCGGGTGAGTTCGTTGCTTGCTCGGGGCTGCCGTGGATTGTGAGGGGCGAATTCGGCCTCGAGCCGAATGATTTTCTCCAGCCCAGTTTCCTCCACGCTGCGATCGCCCCTCCGTGGCCTGCGTTCTCTACGGCGGGAGGCTTGATGATGGGCGATCGTGGTTTGCTTCGTTGTGGCCTAAGCCAGGCCGCCAGATCCATTCTGCTCGACGGTCGTCCCGACCATGCCCCGCGCGCCCTGGTGCCGCTCACATTCTTCCCCAATATCGCCACCGTAAAAGCGGGTGCTTATCGAAAGCCTCCGTGGATTTGTTTTGATCGTTTGATGGGTTCACCCTTGCAGCCTCCTTCGCACGTCGGGTCCGGACCGATGTAGGCGAGGCCGTGAGTTTAGCACGACTGGGCACGGACGTTGCTGTTCAGGCAGCATTGGACCACTTGTGCGCTGAAGTCAAGGTTTGTCATGGGTCGGGCAGCACCCTCGCCCGTGTGGGCCCCGCCCCCCCCCCTTCCCCCCACACCCCCGCGCAAATGACGCGGACTGGCATCATCGGAGTGGTCGCTCTGGGACGCCGACTGCCAGACTTGTGCCCTGTTCGATGGAGTCGCTCCGAACTCCTCCTGTCTTTGCCCCGCCGTGCGAAAGAGGGCGATGTGCTTCCTCGGGAGCACGGCCGGGCCCCGGAGGCCGCCCCTCCGCCCAGCGCTGGGCGCCGGGCGCGCGGCGCTGCGGAGGCATCCGGCCAGACAGCGCGCGCCTGGCCCAGGGGCCGCGGGCCCGCAAGAGGGGGGCGCGGCAGTCTTCTGCGACGTCGAGGCCGCTCTACTCCTTAGGCGATGCTCAAGAAAACTTCAGTTTTCGGCCAGAGTCTCGATTGTTCTTAAGGTTTCAATGTAAAGATGTAAATCTTAAGATTTTAATGGAAATGATGGGTTTTTACTCAAGTTCTGAGACTGTGAATTTCTGAACCCATGATTTCTTAAGCATTTCGCGAGGTGTAGACTTTTTCGGTTCCCCCCCCCCAAGAGTGTGAGCAGGTCACGGCGGGCCTGCCGCTCGCTTTTCGCCGACAAATGCACGCCTGGGCCTCAAGTTTTGTCAAGCTGTTTTTTCGACAGCGACCTCACGGTAGCTAGCGGCCCTCGTTCTGTGCAGGCCCCGGAGTTCGCCGAGTTTCAGGCGTTGCGGCGGGCAGAGGTTGAGCCCATTCTCCTTTCCCGCCCGACTTCGAACTTGGGCCCGAGATAGAATTCCTCAGCATTGACGAAAGAGCGCGCTCGTGGCGCACTTCTCACTAGGAGGGGCGCCCCAGCTTCAGGCCCCCGCCCTCCCTTGGAAAAGGGGGGGGCGTCCGAAGCACCCCCCCCCCCGTTTTGTGGGCATTTTGTAGCTGCGGGGCGCCCTAGCTGGAGGAGGGTAAAGGGGGGCCCAGGGTCAGCCCGGGCTCCCCTTTCAAGGGGGGGGGGGCTTCCGAAGCTACCCCCCCCTTCCTCTCATTTGGATTTTGGAGCTGGGGAATCGCGGCATCCCGAATGTCAGTGCTGCGAGGCTGTCTCAGGCGGAACGCCCAACTACGCCCAACTCGGAACCGATACTCCTGAGGATGTCTCGGGTGAAACGGCTTGGAACACTTCATTCGTGTGAGGATGTCTGTGCGGGGCGGTCCTTCGGGCGCGGAACTCGCTCCTATCGCAACAACACCCCGAGTTGTTCAGTTTCTTGGGGAATGGGAAAGGGTGGTCAGAGTAGAGAGGAAGGATGCTGGAGCAGGAGGGTGATAATGGAAACGGCGGAAGGAAGAGGGGGTTGGTGAGGAGGATGTAGATGAAGTGGGCGACAACGACGACACGGAGGGGAGGGAAGTGACGTCCGTTTTGATGTACCTCGTCCTCCCCTTGAGACTCCGTTGGACCTAGCGAGCCTAGAGCAAACATATTATATGTGTGAGTTTCTTTTAGATCCATCGAACACTTGCCTCCTCTCCTCCTTCCGCCTGGGCCTTTCTTCCTACTTCCACCCTTCTCCTTCCCTTCCTTCTTCCATTCTCGTGTCCTCCCCTCTCATCCCTCCTCCACCCGCCTCTTGTCCTCCCTCCCTCCCTCCCCTCCTTCGAGCTCGAAGCTTCCGGAGGTCCTGGAAGTCGCCTGAGCTCCCCGAAAGTCCCCGCAGGCCCAAAACGGGCCAGTGGCGTCCGAAGGCCTCGTCCTCCCTCCTGCCTCCCCCTTCGGCACCCGCCGCCGCCGCCAACGCCGACGACCACGCTGCCCGGGCGGCGCGGCGTCGTGCGTGGTGGCCGCCCGGCGCAGGCGCTCAGCTCGCTCTGCTGCGGGCTGCTGCCCAGCATCCTCCTGGGGCTGGTGGTGGCCTGCGTCGTGGCCCCGCCCGCCGCCCTCCCCTCCGCCCCGCCCGCCCCTCCTCCTCCTCCTCCTCCTCCTCCTCCTCCTCCCTCCTCCTCCTCCTCCTCCTCCTCCTGCTCCTCCTCCTGCTCCTCCTCCTCCTCCTCCTCCTCCTCGGGCGCGCTGCCACCGCGCCCGGCCCAGGTCCGCCCCGTGGGGCCCCCCATCGAGGGATGGTGTGCAGACCGCCCCCCCCCCCCTCCCTGCGGCCTGGGCCCCCGGGAGCGCGCAGCACGCCACGCCAGGGCTCGGGCTGGCCGTCGCCCGGCACGGGTCGTGCCTCCTCGCGCGCCGTCGTTCGCAGCGGCCCCGCCGTGCGCCCGCGCCTCCCCGGCGGCGCCCGCCCTGCGGGCTCGCGGCGGCGCCGAGCCCACGCTGGAGCGCGGCACTCGTCGAGACCGGGAAGGTGCGCCGTCCGAGAGCAGCGACGTCAGGGGGGGCAGGGCTGAGGGGGGCACGCATCAACCTCCAATCGCCCATAGATCGCCGATAGGGGCCGATAGCCCATCCCGCCGTGGACCATGCGGAGTCGCTATGGGGGGCCTGTCGCCGATCTATCGGCGATGTATCGCCGATTCCAGGTCGATGTGTCCCCCCTTTGAGCCAGCCCCCCCCCCCTAACGTTGCCCCTTGATGGGGCAGGGGCGCATGCCAAAGTGTCTGCACAAGCAGCCTTGCATGTTCTTCTGGTTCGCGCTGGAGCTCAACTTTGTGCACCTGTTCGTCCCTTCGTGCTCGAGTCTTGGCCATCTCGTATCCAGTGGCAGTCGGCCCATGCGTCCCGCCACCCTGCCCAGGATCGATGTTTTTCTTCCTGCCCTTCCTGCCCGTCTGTTCTACCTCAATCTGTCTGCTCGTTCACCCCAGTGCGCCACCCGTCCATCGCAGAGTTGGAAAATGATGATGAGGAGGAGGAGCAGGAGGAGGAAGAGAATGAGGAGGCGAAGGAGAGGCGTGGAAAACGAGGCGGAGAAGAGTCAAGGTTTCGGAGGACGGGTGGGGGTGGGCCCAGTACTGCCACTCGTGTCCCTAGCTACGTGATTTGCCGCGGTGGCCGGGAGCGCGGCCGGGTCCACGGCGCCGCGATTTGGGAAGCTGTTGTGCGATGATGTTGTGTTTCTGTGGCCGGCGTGGCTGTCCCGGTGCCTCTTCACGGGGCTCTGGGGGCCTTTCGGGGGCCTGTGAGGGAGTCCACGGGGTGCTGATTTACTTTGCTCCTACTGCTCGGGACCTGTTCGGCCCTTCTGGGGGTCCTCTTGTGGTTCGTGTGCAGCCTCCTTGAGTCCTCGTGGGGAGATCCTGATACCTCTCAGACCCATCTGAGGCCGCACGTGCGAGAGTGGCAGCGTGGTTTGAGCACGCGAGTGGATTATAATGTATGCTTACCTTTCGGGGCCTTTGCTTCTCCTCCCCCCCGCGGCCGCCCTCTCTGCCCTCTTCCCACTCCTTGCATGCTGGCCAATTCGCTTTCCGCTGCCCCCGTCTAGCTCTATCGCTGGTGCAGCTAACTCTTCAGGAGGGGAAAAATCACACAGACACAGTTAATCGTCGACTCCCAGGAAATATGGGAAAATATGGGAAGTGGGGGGAACACGAGGATTTAGAGAATATGGAAGGATATGGGGAATCCTCGGATTTGTGTGGGCCGCTTGAACTCTGCCTCGTCGCCGACGAACATTTTTCCTCTCGGGGCGTCCGTTGGGAGGCTCCAGGCCTTCGTGGGGCCAGGCTGGGCCCACATTGGAGCGCCTCGGGCTCGTCCCGGAGGCAGTGCCCGGCCAACTTGTGCAGTGTCGAGCGGTTGGGCTCGAGACCTCCCGGGTGGGGTCCGAGCAGACGGGGTCGGAGGATCGCGCCGCATGGCCGATGCATCCGCGATGCGGCTCGATGCGGAGCCCGATTTTCTCCGCGCCCACGTCGCCGATGCACTGCCGACGTCGACGTTGCATTCCCCGTGCATCGCCGCTGCATCGCCAAAACACATCGCTGATGCATCGGCGATGCGGCGCGATCCTCCGACCCCTTCTACTCCGACCCCATCTAGGAGGCCTCTATGGGCGGTCTTGGGATCCAGTTGGGACTTGATGAGCTCAATGTGCACTTGCATATTGGACCATGTGTGCCCCCTGTGCTTTCAATGAACTGTGTGGGTGCTGGGAACACTTTCGCGACCCGCTTCGGGGGTCTCCCGAAGGCCCCGAGACATCAAAAACAAGTTGTCCAGTCCGCAGCCAGTCGCAACTGGTGCATATTCATACGGTAGCTCTTGAGGGGGTTCGTAGTTCACAAGAGGACACCGCACATCATGCAGCGATGGCACGGCTTAAGATGAGGAGCTGGCCTCCGTTGCGTGGATACCCATCATCATTTAGCAGCACAGCGGTCATTCTAATGAAAATGAGTTGGCGGGCGACAGGTGGCGAAAGTGCAGTTGCAGGGCCAGAACGTTCTGAAGTGCCACAGCGAGAATAATGCACATCCCAGGGCGAGAGGCATAACGGAAGGATGATGTGGACGAGGCGACATTTGCATGGGAGATGTTGCACACGTCCTTTACGCTTCTTGCAATTGGCCTTTGCAGGCTACCACGTCCAAACGCCTCTGGCTACTGCTACTGGCTCCCTTGCCCCAGGCATGCCCACGCTCAGCGGGACCATCGTGGTTGGCCACAGTCCTAGAGTTGGCATGAGCTGTGAGAAATCATCTCATGACATCGGGAGTCTTTGCGATCTTCGCCGTGGCACTGACAGTGCTTTGCATATACCTTGTGAGGGAGGGGCTACGTACCGCGTATGATCACGCCGGCGCTCGCGAAGCGCAGGACTCTCGAGGCGTTCCAGGGAAGAGTTTTGACGTTCTCCTGGTGGTCAGGGGAGAGGCTCTCATTTGGGGGGGTGGGGTGGCAGGCCATTGGGTGACATATCCGGCCGCCTGCGGCAAACCCCGCTGGCACAGCTCGGGAGACTCTCCATGGGGGGGGATCCCATGGGGGGGGCAGGAGGGGATCCCCCCCATGGGATCCCCTCGTGCCCCCCCATGGGATCCCCAGGGGATCCTATGGGATCCCCCCCCCTGGGATCCTATCCCCCCATGGAATCCCCCCCATGAAGAGTCTCCCCAACAGCACAGCAGGAAGGAGATTGAGTTCTTAACGCTTCGTATGCCCACCAGCCCATTCAGGAACTATGCCCAGGGGAGTTTTCCTTCTCAGGGAACGTAGCATCATTCGGAGAGTTCGGGGACGATGCCCAGGGGAATATAGTATCATCCCTGATGGACCGACGGATCTGGATTCTTGGATGCCTCTCGCGGTCTCTTGTGATGTCCGTCGGGGTCTCTTGGAGGCCTTTTTGGGCGTCCTGGAGGCTCTTGGGGGCTCTTGGGGGTCTTGGGGACCGCTCGGCGATCTGCAGAGCCTCATGGGGCATTTTTGGTCTCTCTTGGGGGCCTCTTGCGGCCAGCTTGGGGGCGGGTCTCTTGGGCGCCCCTCGGGGGGGCCCGTTTTGACCCCCCTCGGGGGGCCTGCTTTGACACTTCGGGTGTCTCTTGGGGGCCTCTTGGGGCCAGCTTGGGGGCCTCTTGAAGGCCTCCTGGGGGCCGCTTGGGCGCCCCTCGGGGGGCCCGTTTTGATCCCCCTCGGGGGGCCTGCTTTGACACCTCTCGGGGGGCATGTTTGCGGCCCTTTCTTCGTTTATCCATCACATGGACAATATCCCAAAGTCGGCTCCAGAGAGGGGGGGCGGTTTTCCAACGAGGCGTGCGACGGGGGGGTCGGGCTTAGAAAACATGTCAGAAACAACACCAGACAACACAAGAGCACTCCAACACCCACTTCGTGCAGACACGGTTGTGAATAGTTCGAGCGACAATCATGACCATTGAGTGATTTCCAGCCCCGGAGTTGAATATAACAAGAACAACGTTGCTAGTTTGGCCCCCGTGGATGTGAAGTGCGATGAGGCATAGGAGTCTGTACTCCAGAGCGTTCTGGAAGGCGAGGTGCGATGGAGCGGGATGGGGACAGGGAAATGTAGAGTTTCGGACGAAATTGAGAAGGTCCACTCAGGTATCCGGAGGACTGTAGAGCGTCTGGCATTCCTCAAAACGGTTACACACGTTCAAAACAAGCATTCGAAGTTTGAACATCGAGGAGCGTACTCGATGTAAGGGGACATGTGACAACGATGGCCCTCTCGTTGCCTAGAAAAGAGAGCGGGACAGTGCATGACACCTTCCTTGCTCATGAGGGAGCCAGAGGAAGCGCGTTCGCAGCCACACCGCAGAGAGAACGCAACAAGTTCATTCTCGCGTGTCCGAGAGCTTTGATGATAGGTGTTTGGAGGAAGTCTGGCTGACCTGCCTTGCGCTTCCAGAATATGTGAAGTCCTCGCGGACCCTCAGGACCTGAGGAGGCTTCTGGTCAGGAGGCGTGGCAGTCACGATGCGCCAGAGATGACAGCCCGTGTGATATTTCTGAGGTGAAGGGGGAAGCGGAAGACCGCGGGCGGCGGGAGGACGCGCGAGACGACGCTTTTCAGTTATGCTGCACATCTCGTTGTTTTTTTCCTCGTCGTCCTGCTCCCTACTTCCTCCGCGCGGCAGGTAAACGGAATCGAATATCAGCTCCTTCTCCATTTGACACGGACCTTCTTCTTCCTCAGTCGGGGGTGGGCAGTAAACGCATATTCTCGAAACGCTATCCTGTTTCATGCTTCTGCCTGCTTACGCCGACCGGCGCATGGCCAGTGGTCCAGTCCCGGAACACGCCTTGGGCGGTCGTGGAAGTGGCGGCCAGCTCCTGGCGCGGCTGGACACCGAAAGCTGCAGCCTGATTCCTTCGGCAGCTAATGCTGGGAGCCTTTTACAATGTTTTCATTCCATCTTTAACGTCGCTGAGTAGCGTCGATTGGAGTCTGGAGTCGATGAGGTAGCGCCGAACGAGCGTCGATTTAGCGCCGAACTAGCGTCGATTTAGCGTCGATTAGAGCGTCGATGCAGCATCGATCATCGTCGATTTAGCTTCGATCAGCGTCGATTCGTGAGAGCCGACAAGATTATGGGAGGCTCCAATGAGTCGGCGGCGAGCGAGGGGGGGAAATGAGAAGTAGAAGACCTTCTCAGAAGGCGGCGGGACTTCTCGGAAGCCCTCGCGCCTTCTGAGAAGTTTGTTGTGTCTTCGAGGAAGGCTTAGACAACTTCTCAGAAGGCCAGGGGACTCTCGAACCTTCTGAGAAGGCCTTCTCCTTCTCACTTCCCACCCTCGCTCGCCGCCGAATGCGTTGCCACGGAACCTTCGCCCACGAGCCGTCGAGCCTGGGGCCCGGGCGTCCGACGACCTGACGCCTTCGATATCCGTAGGCCCCAGAGTCCTCGGCCCCTCTCTCCTCTCCGGCGCCCGGCTCCAGGGCTCGTTTCGATTCCTCCGATTCGATTCGATTCGATTTCGATGGTTTCCGATTCCGATTCGATTCGATTTCGGATTCCGATTTGGGCTCCGATTTCTTATTGGAGGCACACTAGCCTGCCGATTTCCGCCGATTCGACTTCTCCCGACTCGGCTGCCGATTTCCGCCGATCCGACTCATTTCGATCGCCGATCCGACTTGTCGATTCGACTTTGGGGGCGCCTGCCGGCTCCGCGCCCGGATTGGATATAGTGCTCAGCAGGGGCCCAACGCTTGGGGAGGGAGATTTTCGGGGCCCAAGAGACGGGGGTCAGTGCAAACGGGGGTCAGCCAGAGCGCCCGATCTTGCAGGATCCTGCAGAGCCAGGGTCGCATTGACCCGGGTTTGGGTGAGGATCCTGCAGGATGTGGCAGGATCCTTCGCATTGACCCGGGCTTGGGTGCAGGATCTTGCAGGATCTTGCAAGGCTCTGCAGGGCCTGACTGACCCGGGTCTGGATTGACCCGGGTCAGAAGATCCCCGAGATGGGGTGGGGTTCTGCCAGGGGGACACCGACGAACGCAGAACATGCGCCGAAATCTCTGGCGGATCCTCCGAGGTCCTCGGTGAGTCCGCGACCTTGGGATTGGGGGATGCGGTCCTTCTCGGTCCTGCTCTGGGCGTCGGAGGTCCAGGCTCCCCGCCTCGGGAGGGGGGCGCCCAGCTCGGCTTCTGAGCTTCTCGGAGCGCTCTCGGAGCGCTCCAGAACCCTCCGGGAAGGCCGCGGCGCCCGAGCCATCTTCCGGGGCCGCTTCCTCCTCGCCCGGCTTTACCCTCGTCCTCGCTTCGTCTTGTCGTCGCCTTCGCGCGGGGGGCTATCTCGCGCGCGCCCGCGCACCACCCAGGGGCCGGGAAACGCACAGTGAAAGAAACACAGAAATTCGGAGGTCCGTGCGGATTCCTCGGATCGGCGATTTTGGCCCCTTGGCGGCGCCTGCGTTGCGCTCCGCGCGCCTGGGAGGGGGGTCCACCGCAGATCCGATGCATCTACGCGTACCTCAGAGTTCGAATGTTCATGTCATTAGTTGGTCCCCTATCGAACATCAATGACCAGCTGCCCCTGAGAATAACAGCTGGGGGATAATAATGTTCGGGGTCCTGGGGGGATAATGCAAGTCGTATGTGGGATGTATGACGAGGAGTCGTCGTCGCACGAAGACGACTACGACGACGACGAACTAGCCCTGCCACACGTTCGTGATTTCGGAAAGTTGCACTTGTGAGAATCCCACAGCCCTGCCACACGCTCGTGACCTCGGAAACTGCAATGAAAATAATCTCATATGACACATTACAAGGCGGGAGAGGAGAGAGAAAGTAAGGGGAGGAGGAGAGAGGCCCCAGGATCAGTTTTCCAAACAAGAATCATAATCGGGGCATCGCGGTTCTCAGGTGTAGAACCTAGAGTTCATGGTGGCCCGTTCCCGGTGATAACACAACGCCCTGGAAACAAAATTCTTGGGTTGGGGAGGGGGTGGGAATAGGGGGAAAGAGGAGAGATCAGTATGGGTAGTAGTAGTAGTAGTAATATTTGTAGTTGTAGTAGTAGTAGTAGTAGTAGTAGTAGTAGTAGTAGTAGTAGTAGTAGTAGTAGTCGTAGTAGTCGTAGTAGCCGTAGTAGTCGTAGTAGTCGTAGTAGTAGTAGTAGTAGTAGTAGTAGTAGTAGTAGTAGTAGTCGTAGTCGTAGTCGTAGTCGTAGTCGTAGTAGTAGTAGTAGTAGTAGTAGTAGTCTAGTTGTAGTCGTAGTAGTAGTAGTAGTAGTAGTAAGTAGTAGTAGTAGTAGTAGTAGTAGTAGTCGTAGTAGTAGTAGTAGTAGTTAGTAGTAGTAGTAGTAGTAGTAGTAGTAGTAGTAGTAGTAGTAGTAAGTAGTAGTAGTAGTAGTAGTAGTAGTAGTCGTAGTAGTAGTAGTAGTAGCCGTAGTAGTCGTAGTAGTAGTAGTCGTAGTAGTAGTAAGTAGTAGTAGTAGTAGTAGTAGTAGTAGTAGTAGTAGTAGTAGTAGTAGTCGTGGT